AAAAACCCCCCCCCCCTTACAATAATCAAATTTTGTTGCTTTGCAACTTGCAAAGTAATTATATTCGCATCTAATCAGTTACATATAAGAGTTTAAACTCAACAAAAATAGAACTTTAGAATAGAATCTTAACACGCAGATCGGCAGTGGCCTCAGATTATTTTTGTTTAGATTATAAGATTATAAAATTATAAAAGATTATAAAAATGTACTATTAATCTCATAAATTGTCTTATGTAGCTTGATGCGAATGTTAGCTCTAATGCACCTGCAGAACAGGTGCAATCCTACTTCATGATGTGTTTTGACAATAATTCACATGGTTGCAAGAATTTTTTTTAATTTATTTTTTTTAGAAAGACTTTTGATAATTGGCGGCTGAATGTATATTAGGTTCAAAGCGATGTGAATTGGTAAGCCATGTAATGCCAGAATAAAGGCCAATAATGGCTGAATAAAAACAAAGGAATAATGAAAAAAGAATGAGGATTATGTCTCATACCTGGCAGAGGTGTGAAAGGTTTGTCGAATGAGAATAGAAACATGAATGGGGCAGTTTGCTGCACCAGACATCAGGCAACAGCATGCAGGGGAGCTTACAGGGGGCAATAAATGATTTTATTAGCCTTTTATTAGCCTTCTCTAAAAACACACGTGACATGGTCTTAGAAAATTTTCATAACATTCACAGTTTTAGAGATATCGTCCTCAAATTTGAAATGAAGCATGAGCACACTTGTGGCTACAGCTTCATTGTGTTTCTAAAACCATTTACCACATTCACTTAATTTATTTATATATTTAATATTATAATAATAATATTTGTTTTTATTAGGGCTGGGCAAGTTAACGCATTAACGTTACAATTATTTTATCGCGCATTAACAGTTTTTTATTATTATTTTGAAAGTCTGTTGCTTACTGGCTCTGAATACACATACAGACAAACCATGGGTCACAGGAGGGGTGGGATGTTGATCAGTACTGGTTTGGGATGGGTGTCATCCTACTATAAAAAAAATACTATATAGAACCCATTATAATCAGTGATGCTGTCTACACTGGATGCGGCGCGACACGACAAATTCCCGACAGTAAACTGCTGCTGCCTCATTCTATCTATGACGTACTGACTCAAAATTCAAATGATGTGCAACAGTCGCTTTGTCGCATCCAGTGTAGACTATGGCTGTAGCTATCGATTATTTTAGTAATCGAGTATTCTACAGATTATTCCATCGATTAATCGAGTAATCGGATAAGAAGTCATTTTTCTTTATTAAAGAGCAATACTAAATATACAAGAGATAATAAGATAGTATAAATTAACATTTTTATTGCTAATAACCGTGAAAACTAAACCCATTTAATGTATTTAATTGCCGAAAAATTAACATTTTTATTGCTGAAATTGCATACATTAATAACCGTGAAAACTAAATCCATTTAATGTATTTAATTGCCAAATTGCATTCAAAATGCAAATACAAATATATCAATAAAAATAATATAAAAATACATAAAAATACAAAAATCTATTTCATATTACTTGAAAAAATGTAAACAGTACAAACTAAAACTAAGGCATAAATCTAAATAATAGTAATAAAAATAATAATAATACCTAAACATTGCATTTATGTCATGCAACTTAACTTTCAAGTTTCAGCCTAACTAAAGCTCAATACACAAGACCATACACAATTTTTAAACACATTTTTCTACAACATGAAAAGTTATTTGGAGAATAAACCCTCTTAAATGTCCCTTTACGTTGGGCTGTTATTTGTTACCAAACAAATGATATCAGTATCAAAATTCATCTTTGCAATGCAGAGGAAACACAGAAGCTGCATGGGATGAATTTCCCACACAGAGGGACATGAATGCATTTAACCTGCAGTTACAAATGCATAAATAATGTTTTGTTATTTTAAACCTAAAACATTAAATACTGATATTTAAAATTATTTTAAAAACTAAAAGATACTTTAAATGTGAAATTAAAACCGCCAGCAGGTGGCAGCAAGTCACTGTTAAGAAGTGAGTCACTGCGATTGAACCGAATAATTTAAACGGTTGATTCATTCAGGAACGAAACCCCGTCATGTTGAACGGAGACTCAAAGCAGCGTTGTGGCTGTGTTTGGAATTTTTTTTTGTTGGCAAAATAAAGCAAAAACGGGCAATATAGTGTCTAAAACGTAAGTCTCATTACCTTCTTGTTTATTGAACTGTTGAATAAAATCACATTTGTAATCATGCTGACTAACTTTCTTTCTGTGGTATTTTTATGCACAATGGCGTTTAGTCTTTCACAAAACATAGCTAACCTAGGGACATTATAACTAGCCACCATATTGATTTACGATCTTAAATATGTCCACTGCTGTTTTTTTACAGTCTGTGGTCCAGCGTTTATCGGGTTGTGCGTCAGTAATTATGGTCTGTGGGGAAAGACGGTGTTCCGTGTGTAGTTACAGTAAATGGACTAAACGAAGCCTCGAGGCAAATAATTTGTATTCGATTTACTCGAGGTATTCGAGGAATCGTTTCAGCCCTAGTGTAGACCGACTTTAGCTGTTGTGGCGCTGCGCGACAACTGTTGCATCCAGTGTAGACACTGTGCAACCCCTTATTTACACTGCACTTGTCTTTTTGTTTGAGTTTTTGTTCTGTCCTCCACGTGGTGCCAACTCACACCAGGAGCATTTCAGAAGCTAAGCAACAGGATTTGCGAGACCATGTGATTTGCCTTTCCAACATTGTTTGTCTTGATTATTTGTGTTCTAACTTGGCTAAGTTGGCTAAATGTTTGTTTTGTCCATTTTAATTCTGTTTATAGTTATATTTATTGCTATGTCCAATACTTTGTTGTGCTGTAGACTACAAAGTTAATACACTTAAAAGTCCAGTTATGAATGACAAGGACAAAAAATTTGTAGCTGTGTATAGTCATCTAAAATACAGTCTCTGTTATCTTGTATCTATATTTCACATACCATTTCTGGCCTCCTTTTAAGGATATAGGCTAGTGATGTGAAATACGATCGGGAGTCTGCGCAGGGTGTTTATCTGAAAATATTTGAGAATTTTGAGTTTAGTGAGAAAAAAAGTGTTTATTACGTTTGAAATATGGATATTTATCGTACAAAAACGCATGGATTCACTACAGGAGGCTTTTCACCCCCCGGAGCTGTGTGAGGGACGTTTTATTATGGATGCGCACACTTTATTTCACGTCTTTGAACCGTTGACAACCGAACACCGCTTACCCCCATTCATACAGCAACAGCAGTACTTTTAAAATAAAAGTGCAATGCACTACATTTGAATTCATTATTGAATTTTGCGCATAACGCGATTAATCACAGAAAAATCATGCGATTTAATCGCGATTAAAACATTTTAATAGTTGCCCAACACTAGTTTTTATGTTTGAGCTTCTATATCTCCATATTCATAACAGTCGGAGTAATTCTGAGTCTTGACCAGTTAACTTTTAAGTGTCAGCTTTGTAAACATATGTTGATTATGTGTCTAGTCAGAAAGACACATGAGCAGCAACCTTTTTATTTTGGGTATATCATTTATGTCCCCATGCCAAAATGGGGGGTGCTTGAGAAAATTCTGTCTTTTACTCACCTTCATAATAGTCCAAACTTGTATGACTTTCTTTAATGGTACATGAAAGATATTTTGAGAAATGTCTCGGCTGTTTTTCTGAAATGTGTTTTTGTCCTTAAAGTCAAAGTCCCCCTTTAATACCAGCTGAAAACACGGCCAAAGTTGACTGATGGATCATTTGTTCTCCATTTTCTCTTACTTCTAGATCTAGTGTACACTACAGCCTTTGTGTTGTAAATTAGCTAGTGACAACAATTAGCTAGTACTTACAAGCTTTGACTTGTAAGTACACCTTCAGAGACTGAATGCTTTTCCGTGTTTAGCCAGAAATCAATGTGAATTCTTCTTGTACACATCCAAATCATCCCAAAAAAAAAAAGCCCACGCAGATGGACATTAGTTTGGCTAGCTGCTCCAGGATTGCTGTGAAGAATGGATCGCGTCAGCACATCAGATAGAAATATGCAGATGTCTTGTTTGACATACCTTTCGCTTGGACTGAATGAGACCGTTGTGGTTCGTGAGTCCTGTTGCAAATAGATGCTGTGTGCTTTCTCATTGTACCGTTTTATAGCTCCTGCCATTCTAGGCTGTTCCTCCTCCTATGGTTTGCCTCTCCTTTGCTTCTCATCTCTTTGATTTGCAGCTCGTCTTCCTGTAAATTTTACAGATGATGTTCTCTCCCAGTTTGGCCATGGCTTTAGGCATTTCCCCATTCACAATTTCAGTTGCTGACATCGTTAACAGCCTCTCTTATCAAACGATGACTGAGACATGATGTGATGCAGAGCTAGGCAAAGCAGTCCACTCCTATTCCTCGTAGACTTTTGTTCTTGCACGTACAGCGATGATTCTGTGCGGCTTCCTTTTGTGCTCTGCTTTTCTGATCATTGGGAAATAAAGGAGCTGGGGGAAGGGAGTTGGAAAATGTGTGAACACACGGCTCTGTCGGCATCCTCAAGCACACACCCCTTCATCCATGTGACCTGCTTGAGCTCCCTCCCTCCCTTCCTTCTGACAGTCAAAGACAAGCTTCCACACGCTGACTATTATGCTGCTGACACACTTCCTGCAAGACTTGTGATCATTAATTATCCCAGGTAATAATAAACAGGTTTATATTGCAACACTTTTTTTCTTTTTTGGCAGCCATTGGTGTAGAAATTTAGTGTCCTTAACACCGGTATAACCGAAAACACCGTCTATCGCAGCAGGCCTAGTGATGACAAATTGCTTATGTCTTTGTACCGTTGCTAGGGTACTCTAAATGGTTTCTAGGGTGTGGCTATACAGGATGATATTTAAAGACTATTGTAAAGTCTAAATCAACAGAGCCCAATCCCTTGGTTCTACAATGTTTTGGTGCTGAGGAGTTTTAATGTGGTTATACGGTTGCTAGGGTGTGGCTATGAATGTACCTCACTGTATAATGCACCTTCTGTTTACTGTATAATACACCTTCTGTTTACTGTATAATACACCTTCTGTTTATACTTTCCTTGCACCCTATGTTGTATGTACAGTCATTTGCATTGAGCTGGTCTCTGCCCTCCTACCTCATAACTTGCACTATATGTCATAAAGCTTAATGTATATACATAATATTTATATGCTAACTGCATTTCATTGGCTCTGTACTTGTACTCTGCACAGTGACAATAAAGTTGAATCTAATCTAATCTAATCTAATGAAGTTATGTCAATACTTATTGGCTGCTTGATGGGCAGAGTCAAATGAGTCCACCCCTAAGCCTCTGTCTTTCTGATGCAAAGATATGATCTCACTAATTTTGTGCCAATGTTAAGTGGTTTTATCGCCCAATTTCTTTCGTCCACCGGGCGAACATCGTACGCCCAATTACTTATAAAAGATATAGCACACCTCTCCACGATAAGCCGCACGAATTGACACCTCATTCATGGGCCTACGATGAAAGGTGCCGGAGTAAAAGGAGCCCACCCCCATGTCTCTGACATTGTAACCCAGAGTTATGTTCAATGCAAAATTCCTATGTAAATGACCATAGTAGGAAAAACGGGGGCTCAGATTATGTTTCATGGGCCGTCCCTCACCATAGTATGTCTATGGGGCAACTTTGCAGGGCTCTTGCGGACCAGGGGTAAAACTTATACCCCATTGCGGGGTATGTTCTCGCACAGCTTGACAGCGTCTTCAAATGTGGTGACTTATGTTTCTACGAAATTCTCGCTTGGAGCTACGACCTGTCAAAGTTGGTCGCAGTGTTAAAGGGGTCATATGATGTGATTTAAATTTTTCCTTTCTCTCTGGTTGAAAGTCTCTTCACATCCGGATAGCAATCTATCTGTATTTATATATTCTGTGGAAGGCGTAGGACCAAGAAATGTTCGTCCGATCAAAACACTCGGTCCGAGCGTTTTAATTGGCTTTTCTACCTGCCTGTCAACATATGTATTGTCATACCTCTGCGCACCCGGTTAGCGCAGATCGGATACGTCATCAGCGCGTTCACACAAGCTGTGCAGACTGAGCGAGAATGGCAGACAAACATCAACAACCCGATCTTCCTTCCTGGTATTGTAGTACTTTTACTAACTGTACTATAACGTTTTCTCACCGGTGAATGACACATGATGTAGCCCAACGCGGTTCCCAATTCCAGTCCTCGCGCCTCCCCGCTCCGCATGTTTTGCATGTCTCGCTTAGTTAACACACCCAATTCAGATAACCAGCTCGTTAAAAGTGAGCTATGTGCATGAACTGTGTTCCGATCGATATGATCCCTACACAGTGACTGCAGGGAGGGTGTGACGTTCGCTTTCAGTGCTATCAGGCTAAAGTTAGCATTTTCCAAGATCTCCTACTGCACCTTTAATAACCCTAATAAGGATTAATCTAAATTTATTTATGTAAATAATTATGTCTCTTTGAATGAATGAACAATGTGGTAAGTTGTTATAAAGAATGAATATTATATGATCATTGGTGTTTCATTGAAAACTACTATAGATTTAGTTGAGTAACATCATGATATTTAGTCGACTAAAACTAAAACAATTCAGATGACTAAAATATGACTAAAACTAAATGGCATTTTAGTCAAAAGACTAAATCAAAGTTTGCTGTCAAAATTAACACTGGTGTGGAAGAAGTATGCAAGAGAACGATACTGATGCTTTGCACCACTGATAAAAACTAGATATGTACATTTTCTGAAGAAAATGTGAGTGGTACTTACCGTGGCAAAACTCGGCACTAGGCACCAATAATAACCCTAATCATGTTAACATCATGGGGAAAAAAACCCCCTGCAAATTGTGATAGCATTGTCACAACCTTAACTCTAACATGAAATTAGCATGCTGTTAGCATGATGCTAGTGTGTTTTTAACAAGGTAACTTGATTAGCATGATGCTAGCAACATGATTAGCATGTTGTTAACATAAAGTTAGCGTGATTAGCATGTTGCGATCATGATGCTAGCATGTTTTAACAAGATGCTGACATGTTTACCTTTATGCTAATATGGTTAACGTGTCATTTAGCACAATGTTACCATGCTATTAGCATGTCTTAGCACTTAGCTAGGCGATCTGATTTACTCTTAGCTGCCATCTTGTTTTCCAAACCAAGAGTTGTATTATGTTTTAACTTGTATATTATAGGGATGAACAATATATCTGCCACCATATCTGTATCGGCTGATAAATGTTCATTTTTGCTGTTATCGTTATTGACCTGATAAGAACATTTGGGCAAAATGTTAAAGACACACTCCACTATTTTTGAAAAAAAAAAAATAAATTCAAACTCCCCTAGAGTTAAACAGTTGAGTTTTACCATTTTCGAATCCATTCAGCCGATCTCCGGGTCTGGCGGTAGCACTTTTAGCTGTAGCTTAGCATATATCATTGAATCTGATTAGACCGTTAGCATCTCGCTCAAAAATGACCAAAGAGTTTCTATATTTTTCCTATTTAGAACACTCAACTGTTTAACTCTAGGGGAGTTGGAAAATGAGCCTATTTTCAAAAATAGTGGAGTGTTCCTTTAAAGCCGATAAATAATGCATTATTTCCTTCAGAGACAACTCAGATGTGCACTGTTCGCCATGTGGGTTTTGAATTGCTTGAAATATGATTTGAATCACTTCGAAAAGGAAAATACAGTTAAGTGCAACATACAGAGGAAGTCTGTTATATAGGCTACATAAAATCAGAATGAGAACATTACTGTAAAATAATGTTGTGTAATATTTGTGAGCCATGTTTAGTGTGCGTATTATTATTATTATTATTATTATTGTTATTATTATTATTATTATTATTTATTTTATTTTTTTTATTATTATTATGGTAAGAGCATATCCACAACGGAGCTACACCTTGATGACTAGAACAGTTAAATTAGCTTGTGCATTTGCAGCCTTTTGTGCAATTTTATGTTGTATTATTATTATATATATGTATATGTATGTGTGTATACAGTGTATGTGTGTATACAGTGTATGCGTGTATACAGTGTATGCAGTGGGAAAAGACCAGAGTATAGTGTCAGGTGATATCCATGCCACTGTGACAAGAAGGAAGACATAAGTGTATATTTGTATGAAACTAATGAAAACTGCTTCAATGATTGATTGGGCTGTGAACTAATTGAAATGCGTCTGACTCACCGTCATAATTCATGTGCATTTTCTCTTGCTTTCTCTCTATTTCTCTGTAGGAAGGTGCATCTGCTAGAAAGGCCCAAACACCAGCTCTGCAGCCTGTTCCCAGACCAGGTATGGATGAACTCCTTGAAGTTTAAAGAAATATTCTGTATAACGTAATACAGCTGAAATATTGCATATGTCACGTTATCAATTATAGATAGTTACTTAATTTCGCTGTTACTTTTTAAAACAGGAAACATTTTTGCAGCCATAACTGCAGCAAGATTTTTTTTTTTTTTCAGTCTCTAAGAATGTTCCTGAACAAAACCTATACGTATATTTCACTTATGTATTGTAATTCAAAATAATTTCTTCTACTTTGATACCAAGAGATCTTATCATTCCATTTGTTGACAATAGTGGCGTTGTAAATGACACACTTAAGAACATTCATTGAATATTTCATATGTGTATCTAAAATTATGCAGATGTGATGCAGGATTATTTGTGCTTTCAGCTGCCATCTCAAGCTCAAAAGAAAATTCATAGTTTATCAAGGTGGCAACAGGGTGTCAAAGTATTGTACAGAACATTCCTCACATATCATCAGAGTGCAGGTACATAAACACTGGTAAGAAGATATTTTGAAAAATGTTGGGATCCGAACAGTT